CCACTAATCAAATCAAAATCAAATGTTATGTCACATGCGACGAATACAACCGGTGTAGACCTTACCGTGAAATGCTTTCAAGCCCTTAACCAACAATGCAGTTTTAAGAAAAATATTAACTAAATAAACTGAAGTAAAAAGTAAAAGAGCATCAATAACAATAACGGGGCTACATACAAGGGGTACCGGTACCTAGTCAATGTGCAGTGGTACAGGTTAGTCGAGATAATATGTACATATAGGTAGGGGTAAATTGTCTATGCTAAGATAATAGATAAACAGCGAGTAGCAGCAAGGTAAAAAAGGTTCAATGGAAATAGTCCGGGTAGCCATTTGATTAGCTGTTCAGCAGTCTTATGGCTTGGGGGTAGAAGCTGTTAAGAAGCCTTTTGAACCTAGACTTGGTGCTTCGATACCGCTTGCCATGCGGTAGCAGAGAGAAAAGTCTATGACTAGGGTGGCTGGAGTCTTTGGCAATTTTTAGGGCCTTCCTCTGACACCGCCTGGCATAGAGGTCCTGGATGGCAGGAAGCTTGGCCCCATTGATGTACTGGGCCGTACGCACTACCCTCTGTAGCGCCTTGTGGTCGGAGGCCGAGCAGTTGCCATACCAGGCTGTGATGCAACCAGTCAGGATGCTCTCGATGGTGAGCTGTATAACTTTTTGAGGATCTGAGGACCCATGCCAAATCTTTTCAGTCTCCTGAGAGGGAATAGGCATTGTCGTGCCCTCTTCACGACTGTCTTGGTGTTTTTGGACCATGATAGTTTGTTGGTGATGTGGACACCAATGAACTTGAAGCTCTCAACCTGCTCCACTACAGCCCTGTCGATGAGAATGGGTGCGTGCACGGCCCTCCTTTTCCTGTAGTCCACGATCATCTCCTTTGTCTTGATCACGTTGAGGTAGAGGTTGTTGTCCTGGCACCACACTTCCAGGTCTCCTACCTCCTCCCTATAGGCTGTCTCATCGTTACCGGTGATCAGGCCTACCACCGTTGTCGTCAGCAAACTTAATGATGGTGTTGGTCTAAGGCACTGCATCGCAGTGCTAGCTGTGCCACTAGAGATCCTGGTTCGAATCCAGGCGTAGCCGGCCGCGACTGGGAGACCCATGGGGCGGCGCACAATTGGCCCAGCGTCGTCCAGGGTATGGGAGGGAAGGGCCGGCAGGGATGTAGCTCAGTTGGTAGAGCATGGCGTTTGCAACGCCAGGGTTGTGGGTTCGATTCCCACGGGGGGCCAGTATGAAATTTTTTTAAAAATAATAATGTATGCACTCACTAACTGTAAGTCGCTCTGGATAAGAGCGTCTGCTAAATGACTCAAATGTAAATGTAAATGTGTTGGAGTCGTGCTTGGCCATGCAGTCATGGGTGAACAGGGAGTACGGGGGGGACTAAGCACGCACCCCTGAGGGGCCCCCGTGTTGAGGATCAGCGTGGCAGATGTGTTGTTGCCTACCCTTACCACCTGGGGGCGGCCCGTCAGGAAGTCCAGGATCCAATTGCAGAGGGAGGTGTTTAGTCCCAGGGTCCTTAGCTTAGTGATGAGCATTGAGGGCACTATGGTGTTGAACGCTGAGCTGTAGTCAATGAACAGCATTCTCACGTGGGTGTTGCTTTTGTCCAGGTGGGAAAGAGCAGTGTGGAGTGCAATAATCATTGCATCATCTGTGAATCTATTGGGGCGGTATGCGAATGGGTCTTGGGTTTCTGGGATAATGGTGTTGATGTGAGCCATGACCAGTCTTTCAAAGCACTTCATGGCTACAGACGTGTGTGCTACGGGTTGGTAGTCATTTAGGCAGGTTACCTTGGTTTTCTTGGGCACAGGGACTATGGTGGTCTGCTTGAAACATGTAGGTATTACAGACTCAGCCAGGGACAGGTTGAAAATGTCAGGGAAGACACTTGCCAGTGCATGCTCTGAGTTCACGTCCTGGTAATCCGTCTGGCCCTGCAGCCTTGTGAATGTTGATCTGTTTTAAGATCTTGCTCACATCGGCTACGGTGAGTGTGATCACGCAGTCATCCAGAACAGCTGGTGCTCTTATGCATGCTTCAGTGTTGCTTGCCTCGAAGAGCGCAAAAAAGTCATTTAGCTCGTCTGATAGGCTTTTGTCACTGGGCAGCTCGCGGCTGGGCTTCCCTTTGTAGTCCGTAATAGTTTGCAAGCCCTGCCTCATCCGACGAGCGTCTGAGCCGGTGTAGTAGGATTCAATCTTAGTCCTGTATTTACGCTTTGCCTGTTTGATGGTTCGTCTGAGTGCATAGCGGGATTTCTTATAAGCGTCCGGGTTAGAGTCCCGCTCCTTGAAAGATGCAGCTCTACCCTTTAGCTCAGTGCGGATGTTGCCTGTAATCCATGTCTTCTGGTTGGGGTACGTACGGTCACTGTGGGGACAACGTCATTGATGCACTTATTGATGAAGCCGGTGACGTGGTATGCTCCTCAATGCCATCGAATGAGTGCCGGAACATATTCCAGTCTGTGCTAGCAAGACAGTCCTGTAGCTTAGCATCTGCGACATCTGACCACTTCCGTATTAAGCGAGTCACTGGTACTTCCTGCTTGAGTTTTTGCTTGTAAGCAGGAATCAGGAGGATATAATTATTGTCAGATTTGCCAAATGGAGAGCGAGGGAGAGCTTTGTACGTGTGTCTGTGTGTGGAGTAAAGGTGGTCTAGAGTTTTTTTTGTACATGTAACATGCTGGTAGAAATGAGGTAAAATGGATATGTTTCCCTGCATTAAAGTCCCTGACCACTAGGAGTGTCGCCTCTGGATTAGCATTTTCTGGTTACAGCTCGTTGAGTGCGGTCTTAGTGCCAGCCTCGGTTTGTGGTGGTAAATAGACAGCTACGAAAGATATACTAACTCTCTTGGTATATAGTGTGGTCTACAGCTTATCATGAGATACTCTACCTCAGGCGAGCAAAACCGAGACTTTCTTAATATTTGATTTTGCGCACCAGCTGTTCTTGACAAATAGACACAGACCGCCACCCCTTGTCTTACCGGAGGCAGCTGTTCTGTCTTGCCGATGCACAGAAAAACCAGCCAACTGTATATTATCCATGTTGTCATTCAGCCACGACTCGGTGAAACATAAGATATTACAGTTTTTAATGTCCCGCTGGTAGGACAGTCTTGAACGGAGCTGATCCAGTTTATTCTCCAATGATTGCACGTTGGCCAATAGGACGGATGGTAGAGGCGGGTTACCCACTCGCTGCCGAATTCTCACAAGGCACCCCGACCTTCGTCCCCTGTATCGGCGTTTTCTCTTCATGCGAATGACAGAGTTTTGGTCCTGGTCGGGTATCTCGAGTAAATCCTTCGCGTCCGACTCGTTAAAGAAGAAATCTTCATCCAGTTCGAGGTGAGTAATCGCTATTCTGATATCCAGAAGCTATTTTCGGTCATAAGAGACTGTGGCAGAAACATTATGTACAAAATAGGTTACAAACAACGCGAAAAAAAACGCACAATTGGTTAGGAGCCCATAAAATTGCAGCCATCTCCTCTGGCGCCATTCTGGTATTCAGATCTCACAAGTTGTAGAAACAGATTTATTTTGATACATTTAGTCTTAAAGCTTCTCACGCTAAAGATGTGACATAATTGTGTTGCTATATGTACACTTTACCCTTTAATAGTTACAATAACTACAGTACAAAGCTACAATGTAATTTTATGAATGATGTACCAGTTTCTTTTAAATTTAGGAATGGCCTAGTCTCAGAGGTTTTAAACCTCACTAGCATCATATTTTATGATAGCAAGGTGCTGTAACTTAGCCCTGCTTGGCTAAGGACGGTGGACGTTAAGGTTAGCTACCTAAGTCAGCTAATTTAGCTAGCTAACATTAGCTATTATAACAGGCAGGGGATGTTGATGAATAGTTTCAACTTACCTTTGTAACAACGTTCTGCGTTGATCTACAACATAACAATAAACAGCTTGTTAAACATTTTAGATATCTGTGGTTATAAGCTTTACATGTCACTGTTCGCGAAACGTTTGTGCATCTGTTTTGGTATTTTTTACACTGCCTTGTTTCAGTCCTCTCCGGCAACTGAGTTAGGAAGGATGCCTGTATCTTTGTAGTGACTGGGTATTTTGATACACCTTCAAAAGTGTAATTAATAACTGCACCATGCTCAAAGGGATATTGTTAGGCTTTGGTTTTTCCATTTATGTTTTGAGGTTGGACTTTTTGCATGTATAGCATTTTAGCACGTAGGGTGCACCAATAAAATGCAAATTAGTTACTTGCAAATCATACAATGTGATTTTCTGGATTTTTGTTTTACATTCCGTTTCTCACAGTTGAAGTGTACCTATGGTGGAAATTGCAGACCTCTACATGCTTTGTAGGTAGGAAGGCCTGCAGAATCGGCAGTGTATCAAATACTTGTTCTCCCCACTGTATTACTTCAACTACCTCAACTAGCCGGTGCCCCCGCACATTGACTCTGCACCGGCACCCCCCTGTATATATAGCCTCCCTACTGTTATTTTATTTTACTTCTGCTCTTTTTTTCTCAACACTTTTTTTGTTGTTGTTTAATTTGTACTTTTTTGTTAAAAATAAATGCACTGTTGGTTAAGGGCTGTAAGTAAGCATTTCACTGTAATGTCTGCACCTGTTGTATTCGGCGCATGTGGCCAATGCAATTTGATTTGATTTGATTTGATTGGTGTCACCTCGTTAGTCAGTATGTGTTCCACCTGTGCTGGTTTGCCATACATACATACAAACTAACGTGTGATAATACTGATGAATACACTGACATATGGGTTTGAGATCCAATGATGTGGGCGCCTACTCTACTGTGTGTCTATGATTTGATCATCCGTGTGCCTGGCAAAAACAGAGGCAGACTTGCATGTGCCACCTTTATTCCCCACATCCATGCTCCCCCACCAGTTGCGCGGTACGTGCCTCCAAGGAGCAACACGTTGCCATGGATACAGTAGCATTCATCGGACAAGGAAGTGTACGAATACCAAAACAGATGCACACACGTTTCGCGAACTGTGACATGTAAAGCTTATAACCACAGATATCTAAAATGTTTAACAAGCTGTTTATTGTTATGTTGTAGATCAACGCAGAACGTTGTTACAAAGGTGAGTTGAAACTATTCATCAACATCCCCTGCCTGTTATAACAGCTAACGTTAGCTAGCTAAATTAGCTGACTTAGCTAGCTAGTTAGCTAACCTTAACGTCCACCGTCCTTAGCCAAGCAGGGCTAAGTTACAGCACCTTGCTATCTTAAAATATGATGCTAGTGAGGTTTAACACCTCTGAGACTAGGCCTAAGCATACTATAAACGAAGTGAATTGTTAATTATTAAAACATATTTTGTTTGGATGTAGGTCTAGTGTCTTGTAACCTTAACCACCCCACCCCTCCTCTCTCCACTAAGTTACAGTTTATACAACGGTTGTAGACCGAGGTAAAATTAGTTTTATGTAGGATATTTTGTGAATATTCGGGGTTCTCTTATCAATAGCTATTGAACCAAGCATGCCATGGCTATGAAGATGGAATATTCTGAATCGGGTGGATGGAGAAATATCCACACCTTTTTATTATTTATTTTTTATAATAAGATTTTTGGATTTCAATCTTAAATAGCTCTTATACAAACTGTGTCATGACTATGAAAATGATATATTCAGAATCAGGGGAGGATGGACCGAAATTAACTTATTGTTTGTGTATATATAACTAATTTAGTGGAACGCCTTCTATTTCAGTGCCAGCAATATGGGAGGGAAAGGGAGATATTGTTATTAGATTTAATAGGTAATGGTGTTGAAGAACTTAAATGAACTGCTGATAAAATCTTCAGGGGATGTAGTATTTAATTATGTATTTATTTTTCGAGAATAATGTGTAGGATTTACACCTTCCCTGTAAAAAAAAAAATGCTGTGGATTTTTGTCCATCCTCCCCAGATTCAGAATATACAATGCATTCTGAAAATATTCAGATCCCTCAACTTTTTCCACATTTTGTTACGTTACAGCCTTATTCTTAAATGGATTCAATCCCCCCTCATTAATATACACACAATACCCCATTATGACAAAGCAAAAACAGTTTTCTGAATTTCTTAGCAAATGTATTCCAAATAAAAAACGGAAATATCACATTTACATAAGTATTCAGACCCTTTACTCAGTCCTTTGTTGAAGCACCTTTGGCAGCGATTACAGCCTCCGAGTCTTCTTGGGTATGACACTACAAGCTTGGCACACCTGTATTTGGGGAGTTTCTCCCATTCTTCTCTACAGATCCTCTCAAGCTCTGTCAGGTTGGATGGTGAGTGTCGCTGCACAACTGTTTTCAGGTCTTTCCTGAGATGTTAGATCAGGTTCAAGGCCGGGCTCTGGCTGGGCCACTCAAGGACATTCAGAGACTTGTCCCGAAGCCACTCCTGTGTTGGCTTGGCTGTGTGCTTAGGGTCGTTGTCCTGTTGGAAGGTGAACCTTCGCCCCAGTCTGAGCAGTCTGGAGCAGGTTTTCATCAAGGATCTCTCTGTACTTTGCTCCCTTCGTCTTTCCCTCAATCCTGACTAGTCTCCCAGTCCCTGTAGCTGAAAAACATTCCCACAGCATGATGCTGCCACCACCATGCTTCACCGTAGGGATGGTGGCAGGTTTCTTCCAGACGTGATGCTTGGCATTCAGGCCAAAGAGTTCAATTACATTTTAGTTATTTAGCAGACACTCTTATCCAGAGTGACTTACAGTTAGTGAGTGCATCAATTTTTTCATACTGGTCCCCTGTGGGAATCGAACCCAAGCAAGCGCCATGCTCTACCAACTGAGCTACAATCTTGGTTTCATCAGACCAGAGAATCTTGAGAGTCCTTTAGGTGCCCTTTGGCAAACTCCAAGCGGGCTGTCACTTGCATTTTACTGAGGAGTGGCTTCCGTCTGGCCACTCTACCATAAAGGCCTGATTGGTGGAGTGCTGCAGAGATGGTTGTCCTTCTGGAAGGTTCTCCCATCTCCACAGAGTAACTATGGAGCTCTGTCAGAGTGACCATCAGGTTTTTGGTCAACTCCCTGACCAAGGCCCTTCTCCCCCGATTGCTCAGTTTGGCCGTGCGGCTAACTCTAGAAAGAGTCTTGGTGGTTCCAAACTTCTTCCATTTAAGAATGATGGAGGTTACTGTGTTCTTGGGGACCTTCAATGCTGCAGACATTTTTTGGTACCCTTACCCAGATCTGTGCCTCGACACGATCTCATGGCTTTGTTTTTGCTCTGACATGCACTGTCAACAGTGGGACCTTATATAGACAGGTGTGTGCCTTTCCAAATCATGTCCAATCAATTGAATTTACCAATCAAGTAGAAACATTTCAAGGATGATCAATGTAAACAGGATGTACCTGAGCTCAATTTTCAGGTATCATAGCAAAGGGTCTGAATACTTATGTAAATAAGTTATTTCAGTTTATTTAATTTTATACATAAACAGTTTTCGCTTTATCATTATTGGGTATTTTGTGTAGATTGATGAGGAGAACAACTAATTTAATCAATTTTAGAATAAGGCTGTAACGTAACAAAATGTTGAAAAAGGGAAGGGGTATGAATACTTTCTGACTGCACTGTATACTTTTCTCAGTCATGGCACGCTTTGTGTAAGAGATATTGAAGATTGAAAACTAAAAATAATAATAAAAAATGAAATTTCAACCAAAACAAAGCCGTGGATTTTTGTCCATCCTCCCTGATTCGGAATATATCATTTTCATAGTCATGGCACGCTTTGTTGAAGAGCTATTGAAGATTGAAAGCTAAAAATAATAGTAAAAAAAGAAATTTCACCCAAAACAAAGCCGTGGATTTTTCTCCATCCACCCCTGATTTAGAATATACCATCTTCATGGTCATGGCATGCTTGATTCAAAAGCTATTGACGAGAGAAAACCGAATATCCAATATAAAACTAATTTGACCTTGATCTGTTCTAGCTCCTGTTTGTGTTTCATGGAAATTAGCATGTAACTGTAACCTTACACATTGACATTTCAGATTCATGCCTATCTCAACTGTACCTGCCTATGTAACTACCATGTAAATATATATAATTAAGAATGCATTACCTAATTTAAATGGCCCCAAAAATAGCAGTGTTAGTTAGCTAGCTACCATTTTTTGGTATGTCACCCAAATTAAGTGTTAATATTTATTTTCAACACCAAGGGACTGCAATTGCTGTGTTGGACACTTCGGTACAACATGGAGGAAGATGATGGACTGAAGGATAACCTCCGTCTACAGTTCCAGGCTCTGCAGGAGCAGCAAGAGAAGCGTCTCCAGAGAAGACTAGAGAAACAGAAGAAAGATCAGAAGGCCACTGAGATCCTGCACGACCTGAACCTGTCCCAGCTAGACATTCATCACGCGGATGATCGTAGTAAAAAGTGAGCTCTATGAAATATTATAAAGTTAGGTCTATATTATTAAAGTTAGACAAAGTTTCCTCTCCAATACAGCCTAACATTATGCTTACCGTAGGCATTGGAGCATTATGAATTCATTATATGTACCTATCTCATTATTACCCAAATGGATTAGTGTTTGAAACAATTATTTTGGACTAAGGCTTTCATTAGCTTTGGAATAGCAATTGTAGCACAATGCAAGTTGTGGGTCTTTAGGGGAGAACTTTCATAAGCCGAAATAAGACTGAGTTGTTATTGTCGTTTGTAATTGGAGGGAATTAATCATCCTCCATATTAAAATGTTGACGTTAATGGGTTTTTAATCCCCACAGGCTGTTACAGAATGAAAATGAACAGTTGCAGGACCAGGTGAGGGAGCTGAGGGATGGAAATGGCCGACTATTCAAACTAGTGAGTGAGAAAGACTTTGAGATTAAACATCTGAAGAAGAAGAGGGAGGAAGACAGGCTGGCCTTAGCAGGTATTGTACAGTATATTACAAAACTTGAATGAACAATTCATCTTTTAGGTTGATAAACATTGGATTGGACTACATTCAAAGTGAAATTATGATACAGTCAGGGGAAAAAAGTATTTGATCCCCTGCTGATTTTGTACGTTTGCCCACTGACAAAGAAATGATCAGTCTATAATTTTAATGGTAGGTTTATTTGAACAGTGAGAGACAGAATAACAACAAAAAGATCCAGAAAAAACGCATGTCAAAAATTGTCTAAATTGATTAGCATTTTAATGAGGGAAATAAGTATTTGACCCCCTCTCAATCAGAAAGATTTCTGGCTCCCAGGTGTCTTTTATACAGGTAACGAGCTGAGATTAGGAGCACACTCTTAAAGGGAGTGCTCCTAATCTCAGTTTGTTACCTGTATAAAAGACAACTGTCCACAGAAGCAATCAATCAATCAGATTCCAAACTCTCCACCATGGCCAAGACCAAAGAGCTCTCCAAGGATGTCAGGGACAAGATTGTAGACCTACACAAGGCTGAAATGGGCTACAAGACCATCGCCAAGCAGCTTGGTGAGAAGGTGACAACAGTTGGTGCAATTATTCGCAAATGGAAGAAACACAAAATAACTGTCAATCTCCTTCCTGCCTGGGGCTCCATGCAAGATCTCACCTCGTGGAGTTGCAATGATCATGAGAACGGTGAGGAATCAGCCCAGAACTACACGGGAGGATCTTGTCAATGATCTCAAGGCAGCTGGGACCATAGTCACCAAGAAAACAATTGGTAACACACTACGCCGTGAAGGACTGAAATCCTGCAGTGCCCGCAAGGTCCCCCTGCTCAAGAAAGCACATATACAGGGCTGTCTGAAGTTTGGCAATGAACATCTGAATGATTCAGAGGAGAACTGGGTGAAAGTGTTGTGGTCAGATGAGACCAAAATAGAGCTCTTTGGCATCAACTCAACTCGCCGTGTTTGGAGGAGGAGGAATGCTGCCTATGACCCCAAGAACACCATCCCCACCGTCAAACATGGAGGTGGAAACATTATGCTTTGGGGGTGTTTTTCTGCCAAGGGGACAGGACAACTTCACCGCATCAAAGGGATGATGGACGGGGCCATGTACCGTCAAATCTTGGGTGAGAACCTCCTTCCCTCAGCCAGGGCATTGAAAATGGGTCGTGGATGGGTATTCCAGCATGACAATGACCCAAAACACACGGCCAAGGCAACAAAGGAGTGGCTCAAGAAGAAGCACATTAAGGTCCTGGAGTGGCCTAGCCAGTCTCCAGACCTTAATCCCATAGAAAAAGTCATGTTTTGCAGAGGGGTCAAATACTTATTTCCCTCATTAAAATGCAAATCAATTTATAACATTTTTGACATGCGTTTTTCTGGATTTTTTTGTTGTTATTCTGTCTCTCACTGTTCAAATAAACCTACCATTAAAATTATAGACTGATCATGTCTTTGTCAGTGGGCAAACGTACAAAATCAGCAGGGGATCAAATACATTTTTCCCTCACTGTATATGTTTTTGTCTTTGTTTTATTTTTACTTTCAGAGCTCCATTTGACTTTGAATGTTGTCTAAAGTGGCATATGTCCTTTTTTATTAACTTCATGACTATCTTGTCCAAGGCACATCTGGCTTGGCGGGTGATGCGGCAGCTACCAAGATTGTTGAGCTTTCTAAGAGGAATCGAGAGTTTGCTTCTGAAATGGAACGAGAAAAAGTTAAAGCAAAGCAAACCAGCAACAGGGTAAAAGAGCTTGAGAAAGAGGTAAATGGGATGTTTAAAGAACTTATCAATATTAACATTTCACGTTGCTAAAACAAAGAATCAACAACTCTAACAAACAGAATTCCATCTCATATCCAGTCTGTTAATTGACAATGACATTTGGATACAAAATCCAAATGTTATACATACAGTGCTATGAAAAAGTATTTGCCCCCTTTCTAATTCTCCACTTTTGCATATTTGTGATACTGAATGTTATCAGATCTTCAACCAAAACCTCATATTAGATAAAGGGAACATAAGTGAACAAATAACACAACAATTATATATTTATTTCATAAACAAAGTTATGCAACACCCAATTCCCCTGTGTGAAAAAGTAATTGCCCCCTTACACTCAATAACTGGTTGTGCCACCTTTAGCTGCAATGACTCCAACCAAATGCTTCCTGTAGTTGTAGATCAGTCTCTCACGTCACTGTGGAGGAATTTTGGCCCACTCTTCCATGCAGAACTGCTTTAACTCATTGACGTGTGGGTTTTCAAGCATGAACTGCTCGTTTCAAGTCCTGCCACAACATCTCAATTGGGATTAGGTCTGGACTTTGACTAGGCCATTCCAAAACTTCCAATTTGTTGCTTTTTAGCAATTTTCATGTAGACTTGATTGTGTTTTGGATCATTGTCTTGCTGCATGACCCAGCTGCGCTTCAGCTTCAGCTCACAGACGGATGGTCTGACATTCTCGTGTAGAATTATAAATAACACAACAATTACATATTTATTTCATTTATTTAGAATTCTCTGATACAGAGCAGAATTCATGGTTCCTTCTATTAAGGCAAGTCGTCCAGGTCCTGAGGCAGCAAAGCATCCCCAAACCATCACACCACCACCACCATGCTTGTCCTTTGGTATGATGTTCTTACTGTGGAATGCAGAGTTTGGTTTTCGCCAGGCATTACTGGAACCATGTCGTCCAAAAAGTTATACTTTTGAATCATCTGTCCATAGAACGTTCTTCCAAGAGTCTTGATGATCATCCAGGTGCTTTTTGGCAAACTTGAGTAAATATTTTGGACGAGATGGGTCCCATTATGCCTGGCGAAAACCAAACACTGCATTCCACAGTAAGAACATCATACCAAAGGTCAAGCGTGGTGGTGGTGTGATGGTTTGGGGATGCTTTGCTGCCTCAGGACCTGGACGACTTGCCTTAATAGAAGGAACCATGAATTCTGCTCTGTATCAGAGAATTCTAAATAAATGAAATAAATATGTAATTGTTGTGTTATTTGTTCACTTATGTTCCCTTTATCTAATATTAGATCTGATAACATTCAGTATCACAAATATGCAAAAGTAGAGAAAATTAGAAAGGGGGCAAATACTTTTTCATAGCACTGTAAATGCCAGAGACTTTCCACTTGTTGACTCAATCGGCCATGTGTCAGCGGTATTGCTTTATAGACTGAGGATGTAAGCTCTTGACTGAATGGATAAATAATTAAAATAAATCCTCTAGCTCCAGGCTGCTTTGTTGCTTAGTCCTCCTGGGAAAAAGATGGATGTAAAGCCACAAGACATAAGGTCATCTCAGGACTTCCTGGAGGTAATTAGTCTTAATGACTGATCATCATTTTTAAGCCATGAACTTAGAAATGCTTATGTTGTTGTAGCTTTGATTGAAATGCAGCTTAGCAAAACTTTTGTACATGTTTATTCTAAGGAAACCTGGCTAATTGTATTGGTGTCAATATTGTGACTTTTCAGTGACAGCTATGACTGTGTTCCTCTCACCAATAGAACAGTCCAGTGGTAAAATCTCTACAGGAAAAACTATCTGCTGCCCAATTCAAGATGACAGAATATCGAAACCAGATTCAAGCTGTCAAGCAGGAATTGAAAATAGCTCAGAAGGTGTGTATAGAGCCGTTTGTTAAAAGCTGAAACATTTCAAAGGCTATGACATACAATTCCAGGCCTGTTTTTGTTCCTACTGTAGGTGTTATCCAGTGAGGTAGGAGAGGAAGTCAATATCCAGCAGCTACTGACCAGCTCAGGGAACTGGAGAGGTCGCTCCCAGCAGATACTGGCTCTCCAGAGCAGGGTGAGCTGACTGACTGCTGTCATTGGAAGAGCTTTCGAGGCACAGAATATTGATCACATAATAAGATGTTAATTGACATACAAGGTGATTTGTAGACTGCAGTGTAGCCATCTCAATGTTTCTCCGTTGTTTTTTTGTCCCCAGGTTCGGGACCTGGAGCAGCAGCTGAGCCAATCAGCTCAGAGGAAGCAGCCGTCAGTCGTCAGCGTGGAGGAGGAGCTACTGGGGGGCGGGGGCATGCAGAAGACACCCCCCGAGGACAGGAACCTCAGCTACATCCGCAATATGGAGAGGGAGAAGAGAGAAACTCTGGAGGTAGGAAGAGCCAGACTTGATTGACAATTGATTGACAGTTCAATCAAACCTGCATTGTGGTATTTACACAGTAGCTCTTTTGAGATAGAATCATAGAATGGTTTTGGTACTGTAGACTCCTACTTCCACTACTACCAGGTTGGCTCTCCTTATAGGTAGATGCTTTCAGTTTTCAGAATGTATGTGTCCGTTGGCAGTAGTTTTTAAACTAAACATCGTTACGATGGGTTGAATTGAACTCTAGTCTTAGTTCTGCTTCTCTCCTCCTGACGTGTGGTTAGAGGATGACAGGGGACTATGATTCCCTCATGAAGGACCACAAGGATGTGAAGAAGAAGCTGGAGGGCTCCAAGGCCAGAAACCAAAACCTGAGCACTGAGGTGAAATCACTGAAGGCCCAGATCTCCACACTGCTGGACAAAGGAAAGCATGATGATGAACTGGTGGATGCCTTACTGGTATGTAAGCAGACCTGGGTTCAAATAGTTGTCTTTGAACTGCTTTGAGCGTTTGATTGAGCCTGTCTCGAGTGCCAGATGGGCATGGTTTGCACTTTTGCGACTTTTCCATTCTAAAGATAAGTTTCAAATACTAGTATGAACCCATGTACAGTATATTGGTATATCATATTAGAACTTTGAGTGCATCATGGTAGGAATTTTGACCCGAGTTAAGCGCGCATAAATTGAACATAATTGCCTTTTTATGCACTTTTCGCTCTCTACCCGTATTCTGACCTTGAATATAGGCATGAGAATAGCATGCTATTCACCCGCTATTCGTTTGGGGTGGAGATCAGAGAAATGAAGGTGTGGCGGAGGTGTGTCTACTGATACGCCATATTCTGACCTTGACTTAATTCCCTAATAATTCCACCACCTTTACGCGCGATGAAGTGATGAATAAGGTTGCGCTACCTATCGGTTTAAAGTGGAACAACATCTACTTAAATTTTTCTGATAGAAATAACACCGTTCTCCATGCACTGTAGTTTACAAATTGATAAGAGCTAAGTAAATGAGTTAGCTGTTAGGATAAGGCAATTGTAGATATAAATGACAATTGTTTTTTGATCTATTTTACCTTATGATTGCTGGAGACAAATGTGAAACCAGTCATATGGCAGCTAACTGAAGCATATCAACATATCACCTTTTCCACAGTGAAGTTTATGAAAAGCTGGCCTTATAACTTGCAGGGATGAAATTTGGAGACCCAAGCTATAGGCTTCTGTAGCCATACGCAAATGCCAGTATAGCGCCAAACCTACCGAGTTGATTTATGATTTCGAGAATGTTTTAATTATGTGCCCTGACTTTTCACTGTAATGTTTTACAATTTGTATCGTGTTAAATATCACCCACTATCGGTAGCCACCGTCAGTTATACCCACATACTATTATTATATATATTTATAACTGTCACCTTAGTGTTAGTATCCTTACATTTTGCATCATTCCATTACATCGTTAGTTTACCTTTCTTTCCTCTTGTCACGTTTGTGTGGTTGTTCCTGAGGATCGCTAGCAATAGTGGATCATATTAGGCTAACGCATTACAAGCAATAATTTGGGGCTAAATGACTAAAATGTAAATGTAAATGTAGCCTATATGAATAATTATGGAATGCAGACCATGCGTAGCAGTTTAAACCAGTGCACGGTTCACAACAACTGGACCATTGTAATCACAGTTCCATGGTTAGTGAGGTTGATTAGGGGAGATTTATAGGACTACTGTTCAACCCCTATTGTACACTTTTCTCACCTTCCAATATTTAATGGATTGAACAATTAAATATGGCAATTTCAGGGTGAATCAAACCACTGTATTTTTTATTCACCAACATATTTTGTGAGTAAAGGCTCTCCAACCCTGTTTTTTAAAATTATTCATAAATACTTTCCTAACCCTAAATAATATACAAGATCAGAGAATTTTTAAATCTACCAATTGGTACTAAAAAGTAGATGAATATGCGTGTATTTTCATGGTTTTCTTTCATTGATCACTAATATTCTGAACCGTTCTCTCCATATACACTGACTGTACAAAACATTCTTACTGTACATACATCTTCCTAATATTGAGTTGCACCCCCTTATGAACCCAGAACAGCCTCAATTCGTCGGGGCATGCATGGACTCTACAAAGTGTCGAAAGCGTTCCACAGGGATGCTGGCCCATGTTGACTCCAATGTTTCCCACAGTTTTGTCAGGTTAGCTGGATGTCCTTTGGGTGGTGGACCATTCTTGATACACACGGGAAACTGTTTAGCGTGAAAAACCCAGCAGCATTGCAGTTCTTGACACACTCAAACCAGTGCACCTGGCACCTACTACCATACCCTATTCAAAGGCACTTACATTTTTTGTCTTGCCCATTCACCCTCTGAATGGCACACATACACAATCCATGTCTCGATTGTCTCAAGGCTGAAAAATCCTTCTTTAACCTGTCTCCTCCCCTTCATCTACACTGATTGAAGTGGATTAAAAAAGTTAGATCAATAAGGGATCATAGCTTTCACCTGGATTCACCTGGTCAGTCTATATAATGGAAAGAACAGGTGTTCCTAATGTTTTGTACACTCATTGTATGCTAGTGAGTCTGTCGAGAACATTTTAATTGAATGTACACCAAATTTAAAGGAATGGCTTTAGATACAGTAAATGTACTGAAAACCCTATTGAATGAAAACTCCATGAAAAAATATGTTGGCCAGCAAGTGGGAGTGTTTTCAGCGGTTGAATTCAATTTATTCAATGCACGCAATGGAACCACGCCTGAAAAGCCTGTTACGCACCTGCATAAGGTAAGTCTGAATACCAGCTACTGAGAAGTATGTAGGAAAGGCGTGCGTAGCAAAGGCGTACATTTACTAAGTCTGAATCAGGCCCCATAATATTTAGATGTATTCAGTCCAGATGATCATGGTTTGTTAGGGTATGTATAGTAAGTTTAGAGACATCTGGTTAGGTGCTCCCTTCAGGATAAATGTAAATGAAATCCTACCCTAGCCTGATTAAAATACCATCTGGATAATTATGTCTGATAATAGTCTTGGTTATAAACACTACTTATCAGGTACTCTTTACCGCAGTATGTTAGCAATGAGGCTCTTTATCTACTTCCCCAGAGTCAGATGAACTCATGGATACCATTTTTATGTCTCTGCGTGCAGTTTGAAGGGAGTTGCTAACTAGCGCTAGCGCAGTTGCTGACTAGTGTTAGCATAATGACTGGAAGTCTATGGTATCTGACTCTGGGGAAGTACAGTACCAGTCAAAAGTTTGGACAGTGTTTTTCTTTATTTTTACTATTTTCTACATTGTAGAATAATAGTGAAGACATCAAAACTATGAAATAACACATATGGAATCATGTAGTAACCAAAAAAGTGTTAAACAAATCAAAATATATTTTATATTTGAGATTCTTCAAATAGCCACCCTTTGCCTTGATGACAGCTTCATGTTTTCAAGTTCACTCATCGGATTGTTCTATAATTGAACGAGTCCCTGCATACAAATACCTTGGTATTTGGATTGACAATGATTTATCGTTGAAAAAACATACAAATGACCTTGTTAAGAAACTTAAGATTTAAAGATTTCTTTTTTTTTACAGAAACAGGTATTGTCTCTCACTAGTCAGCAGGAAGCAGTCAACATTTCTACCTGTTCTACCTCTACTCTTAAACCCCTGGATGCCCTTTTTCATAGCGCCCTTCTTTTATCCGGGGAGAGTTTTAGTACTCATTACTGTATTCTTTACTAAAAGTTTCGCTGGACCTCTTTGAAGTTCCGTAGATCACATCATTAGTCTTTATTTACAAAGCCCTGCTCCACAAGCTTCCGACTTACCTAACTTAATAATAATATGCCATTTAGCAGACGCTTTTATCCAAAGTGACTTACAGTCATGTGTGCATACATTTTTACGTATGGGTGGTCCCTGTTCACTGTTAAGGTTTACATTTACAAGTTATCAGACCTATTTACAGGGTTGGTTAAGTCTGGTGACTCCTTTGGTGTCTACAGAGTTAGGTAAGTCAGCATTTAGTTTTCTTTATTCCACATGTTTGGAATGATCTCCTAAATACATTTCAAATAGATGTGTTGGTGTCCTAGGGCAGTTCAGGCAGCGGACAGAGGATTTTTATAATTAAAAATAAAGGTAAATAAATAATGCTGTAGACCTACTTCATTTGCCAACATCAAATACATATTCATATCACAGAGTAATCCATCAGTTTGATGCATCAGTTACTCTTTAGTTAGTAATATGCTGATGCTTCACTTCACTTACCAACACATACAGTAGTACACTGAAGTGTATAGAGTGAAGTGTCCCCTAACTGTAAGCCGTCTGCTAAATGACTAAAATGTAAGTGTCCCTTGACATGTCCTCCCCCTCTTTGCCCCTAACCCTGTCTCCCTGTCCCCTTCCTTGCCCCTAACTCTGTACCCTTAATCCTGTCCCCTCTCCCCCTGTCCCCCTAATCCTGTCCCCCTGTTCCCTGACCCTGTCCCCATGTCTGTCCTGTCGTGGGTACTGTAGAAGCAGCAGAGCCAGCTGCAGGAGGTGCTGGGCAGGCTGAGCCAGCAGGACGCGCAGACCAAAGAGAGCCAGCAGAACCTGGGGCAGCAGCTGAGCAGTGAGGCCCAGAGACACACATCCCTCATTCATCAGCTCAAACACATGGTCTCCGAGAGGGAGGCCAAAGTCAAAGAGCTGGAGGAAGAGATACAGCAACTGTCCTTAATGGTAAACTGACTGTGATTCTACAAGGAAATAAAAATACTTCTAGTGATGTCAGTGCTATTGACTGAGAGTTTTGTCTTCAGTGTTTTGGGCAAGTTCCATTTATTTCCAGTCCCTTCCGATATAGAAAAATGTAGCAATAATGCTTTATGGTAGCATTTCTTCATATGCAACTGACCTATGGAATTCAGGGCTGGAATTTAAACAGAATGGATTTTGTAAATGTGTTGCAGAGAGAGGATGGCGGTCAATCAGGCCCCAAGACTACCACTGGCAGTTTCCGGCCATTGACAGCAGGGGGAGACAGCAGTAAGAGGATAATCTCAGCCCGGTATGTGTGCATGTGGAAGTCATAAATATAAGATAATCTTGTGTCATAAATGTCAAATATTATAGTACATCATGCATATTTCCTGTATATGTGACTCATATACCTTGCCTACAAATTATTCAATTATCAGTTGATAGTGTCATTGATTGTGCAATGACTATATTGATGTGTTATTGATCTCAATTGATGTTTTTCTCCCATATAGTTCAGTATCTAAACTTGGACATAAACTAGTGGAGTCAGCAGCTGGGATCAGTTTAGAGGTCAGGTAAGTCTTAGCCTCCAAACATCTGGTACAAATCATCTTACAGTGAGGGAAAAAAGTATTTGATCCCCTGCTGATTTTGTACGTTTGCCCACTGACAAAGACATGATCAGTCTATAATTTTAATGGTAGGTTTATTTGAACAGTGAGAGACAGAATAACAACATCAAAAATCCAGAAAAACGCATGTCAAAAATGTTATAAATTGATTTGCATTTTAATGAGGGAAATAAGTATTTGACCCCTCTGCAAAACATGACTTAGTACTTGGTGGCAAAACCCTTGTTGGCAATCACAGAGGTCAGACGTTTCTTGTAGTTGGCCACCAGGTTTGCACACATCTCAGGAGGGATTTTGTCCCACTCCTCTTTGCAGATCTTCTCCAAGTCATTAAGGTTTTGAGGCTGACATTTGGCAACTCGAACCTTCAGCTCCCTCCACAGATTTTCTATGGGATTAAGGTCTGGAGACTGGCTAGGCCACTCCAGGACCTTAATGTGCTTCTTCTTGAGCCACTCCTTTGTTGCCTTGGCCGTGTGTTTTGGGTCATTGTCATGCTGGAATACCCATCCACGACCCATTTTCAATGCCCTGGCTGAGGGAAGGAGGTTCTCACCCAAGATTTGGCGGTACATGGCCCCGTCCATCGTCCCTTTGATGCGGTGAAGTTGTCCTGTCCCCTTAGCAGAAAAACACCCCCAAAGCATAATGTTTCCACCTCCATGTTTGACGGTGGGGATGGTGTTCTTGGGGTCATAGGCAGCATTCCTCCTCCTCCAAACACGGCGAGTTGAGTAGATGCCAAAGAGCTTGATTTTGGTCTCATCTGACCACAACACTTTCACCCAGTTCTCCTGTGAATCATTCAGATGTTCATTGGCAAACTTCAGACGGCCCTGTATAAGTGCTTTCTTGAACAAGGGGACCTTGCGGGCGCTGCATGATTTCAGTCCTTCACGGCGTAGTGTGTTACCAATTGTTTTCTTGGTGACTATGGTCCCAGCTGCCTTGAGATCATTGACAAGATCCTCCCGTGTAGTTCTGGGCTGATTCCTCACCGTTCTCATGATCATTGCAACTCCACAAGGTGAGATCTTGCATGGATCCCCAGGCCGAGGGAGATTGACAGTTATTTTGTGTTTCGTCCATTTGCGAATAATTGCACCAACTGTTGTCACCTTCTCACCAAGCTGCTTGGCGATGGTCTTGTAGCCCATTCCAGCCTTGTGTAGGTCTACAATCTTGTCCCTGACATCCTTGGAGAGCTATTTGGTCTTGGCCATGGTGAAGAGTTTGGAATCTGATTGATTGATTGCTTCTGTGGACAGGTGCCTTTTATACAGGTAACAAACTGAGATTAGGAGCACTCCCTTTAAGAGTGTGCTCCTAATCTCAGCTCGTTACCTGTATAAAAGACACCTGGGAGCCAGAAATCTTTCTGATTGAGAGGGGGTCAAATACTTATTTCCCTCATTAAAATGCAAATCAATGTATATAATTTTTGACATGCGTTTTTCTGGGTTTTTTTGTTGTTATTCTGTCTCTCACTGTTCAAATAAACCTACCATTAAAATTATAGACTGATCATTTCTTTGTCAGTGGGCAAACGTATAAAATCAGAAGGGGATCAAATACTTTTTTCCCTCACTGTATCTTTCTCAATAACTGTCCTATGATAATAACTGTTATTAGATGTACAATAAAACCTGTTTTTGGTGGACTACACCTACTGATTCAATTTACCACTATTATCTCAGAGATGCAGCAGCTCCTTCGGGTTGTCAGAACTGTTCAGAGGAGGTGAGGTCCCTGAAGGCAGAGTGTACAGCGTTTCGGACCCTTTGTGAGGCTGCATGTGTGGAGAGAGATAGGCTCCTAGAGCTAGTCAAGCTCCAGCAATCCAGGTATTACATCAACTCCCATGGATTTCATTTCTACAACACACATTTCTGGGTGTATTGTATACAGTATGTTCGTTTAGTTTCCTTTCCTGTCCTTTACTAAATTATATGGGTGGGTGTTTAGATTGCTATTATTGGGTGTTGGCCTTTTGTTGTCAGATGTTAAAAAATGTATTACTGCTTTCAAACCATTGTATGAGTGTTTTCTCTCAACCTCTCTGTTAACCTTTGTGTTTTTACATCTTTCCGGCATGGAAATGTAAGCCTCCTTACTTTGTAATGACCAGATTACAGTACCTGATAGGAATTTTCATGATGATCATGCAGTTTTTAAACATAATACCGCAATCATGACTACCTTCGGTTGGCAGAAATAAAAGTACAGGCTTTGTTACTGGCTTCACCTTACAGATATATAAAAAGAACACAGCATTTTAAAGTTGGCAGGTTTTTGTCTTGGTATGAATGGGATATAGTACTAAGAGACTGGGCTGGTGTGTTTGATGGGACAGGGAGGAGGAAGGGAAGCAGAGGTGCCTAGGGGCAGAGCAAAAATTCCAAGGAGAACGCAGAAGGGCCGTAGCCCTAGAGCAGAAGCTAGAGAAGGCTAAGATGGATCTGGGCAAAGGATTGACTCCCAGAAAAACTAGCAACAAGGGCACTGGAGGTAAGTCTCAGGGTAGGCACACTGATCTATAACAGTAACACAGTGACAAGGCTGAGAATGGGATTTATATTGATCCATAACTGCTATTTCTGTCTTATTTTTGTTGTTATTTATTTTCTACCCTCCCAGGAGCCTTGTCTAGTGGGAGACCGAGGGAATCATCATCCCCTCGAAGCCCTCCTGACCATTCCAGGGAGGCCCAAGTCATTGAACTAAGTACCCAGTGAGTCTGACTTACAGTGTTTTTTTGTCTTCTGTTCTTTCTCTCCTGGAAGTCCTGGGTGGTGACCCTGTCTGTCACAGTCTGGAGATACAAACTGTCAATCTACACTACCGTTCAAAAGTTTTAGAACACCTACTCATTCAAGGGTTTTTCTTTATTTTACTATTTTCTAGATTGTAGAATAATAGTGAAGACATTAAACTATTAAATAACACATATGGAATCATGTAGTAACCAACAAAGTGTTAAACAAATAAAAATACATTTTATATTTGAGATTCTTCAAATAGCCACCCTTTGCCTTGATGACAGCTTTGCACACTCTTGGCAAAGCATAATGTTTCCACCTCCATGTTTGACGGTGGGGATGGTGTTCTTGGGGTCATAGGCAGCATTCCTCCTCCTCCAAACACGGCGAGTTGAATTGATGCCAAAGAGCTCGATTTTGGTCTCATCTGACCACAACACTTTCACCCAGTTCTCCTCTGAATCATTCAGATGTTCATTGGCAAACTTCAGACGGCCCTGTATATGTGCTTTCTTGAGCAGGGGGACCTTGCGGGCGCTGCAGGATTTCAGTCCTTCACGGCGTAGTGTGTTACCAATTGTTTTCTTGATGACTATGGTCCCAGCTGCCTTGAGATCATTGACAAGATCCTCCCGTGTAGTTCTGCGCTGATTCCTCACCGTTCTCATGATCATTGCAACTCCACGAGGTGAGATCTTGCATGGAGCCCCAGGCCGAGGGAGATTGACAGTTCTTTTGTGTTTCTTCTATTTGCGAATAATCGCACCAACTGTTATCACCTTCTCACCAAGCTGCTTGGCGATGGTCTTGTAGCCCATTCCAGCCTTGTGTAGGTCTACAATCTTGTCCCTGACATCCTTGGAGAGCTCTTTGGTCTTGGCCATGGTGGAGAGTTTGGAATCTGATTGATTGATTGCTTCTGTGGACAGGTGCCTTTTTATACAGGTAACAAACTGAAATTAGGAGCACTCCCTTTAAGAGTGTGCTCCTAATCTCAGCTCGTTACCTGTATAAAAGGCACCTGGGAGCCAGAAATCTTTCTGATTGAGAGGGGTCAAATACTTATTTCCCTCATTAAAATGCAAATTAATTTATAACATTTTTTCTGGATTTTTTCTGGATTTTTTATTTTTTATTTTTTTATTCTGTCTCTCACTGTTCAAATAAACCTACCATTAAAATTAAACGTACAAAATCAGCAGGGAATCAAATACTTTTTTCCCTCACTGTATAACATACAAGAATACTGAGTATGACATACTAGAAATACTGCACATGTACTGTATAAGCCCAATTGGGAGTCAGATACATTGTACATGTATACATTGGAGTTTTACTTTCTATGAAGAATAAGAACAGCTGGAAAAAACGCAGAGGGTATTCAAACTTTACAAACTCCTAAATGAGTGAAGCACACAACCATGTTGATGTAAGTGCTGTTGTGTGTTTCCTTCCCTCTGTCCCCCAGGCTGGCGGTGCTGCAGGGGGAGAACGAGGCTCTGAGGGCTGAGCTGAGGAGCACTCTCCAGGCCAAGGCTGAGGACCTGCAGCTCTGCAGTGACATGATGAACCGAGTCAACCACGTCTTCCTGCAGGCGCTGCGACAACACAAGCAGGAAGAGGACACAAACCAGGAGAGTTAGTTAGCTAGCTATATTAAAGGCCCTGGCTGCTGAACCTGCTGGACTTCAACAATGTCCCAAAAAAAGCTTTAGTTCCTCTTGTCCAGTCATATCAGCTCTGAGGAAGGACAGAAATGAAACAGGCCTGTCTGTTTCAGCAATACAATGTAATTACTGGTTCCTGGTTTCCTGACTGCTTCCTGCGAACTCTGTTGACCACGAAAAGACAATTACCTGCTTTGATTGCCATCCCGGAGGACCTGAGCCCTAGGACCATGCCTTAGGACTACCTGGCCTGATGACTCCTTGCTGTCCCCAGTCCACCTGGTCGTGCTGCTGCTCCAGTTTCCACTCTTCTGCCTGCGGCTATGGAACCCTGACCTGTTCACTGGACGTGCTACCTTGTCCCAGACCTGCTGTTTTCAACTCTCTCTCTCTACCGCACCTGCTATTTCAACCTCTAAATGCCCGGCTATGAAAGGCCAAGTGACATTTACTCCTGATGTACTGACCTGTTGCAGCCTCTTCAACCACTGTGATTATTATTTGACCCTGCTGGTCATCTATGAACGTTTGAACATTTTGGAGAAAAATCTGGCCTTAAAGGCCATGTACTGTTATAATCTCCACCCGGCACAGCCAGAAAGGGACTGGCCACCCCTCAGAGCCTGGTTCCTCTCTAGGTTTCTTCCTAGGTTTCTGCCTTTCTAGGGAGTTTTTCCTAGCCACAGTGCTTCTACATCTGCATTGCTTGCTGTTTGGGGTTTTAGGCTGGGTTTCTGTATAGCACTTTGTGACATCTGCTGATGTAAAAAGGGCTTTATCAATAAAATGTGTTAGATTTTTTATTTTATTTATTGATGTAGTGAATATGAGCAAGCCTATCAAAGCCAACTAGGCACCTGCGGACCAAAAGGCTTATCAACTTTGACATGAAGATGTCACACGGTGGTTCCTACTGTTGATTGCATGACTGGTCAGTGCATATAGAATGTGTCTGTATGATTTGATGTTTATGTATGGACTAAATGTCACTGTCATATCAAAATAGTGTCCTCGTTTTAGCACCTGTGTTTGTAAGATATAGTATAGAGTGCCGTAGTGTGTTTGCATTCCACTAATAGAGTCATCAACATGTAACAATAAAGGACATTTGACACCCAAATATAACATGTTTTTTTCACCGTCACAGCTAAGATGCTAATGATTAGTTAAGGCTCTATTAAATCCATAGCGCTGAAGATCCGCTTTATAGCACGATTGACAATTAAAGGCAATGTTCCCGCGGTCTCGGAGACTGCATTCATGGTAAACGCTGCATATGTCGGCTCAATCTAAAATGACCTTTACATTTCAACATTGATCCTCCGAGATACTTGAATCCAGTCCTTAAACTTGGCTACAGTATCACACATAAATATTTGACAGCCCCAAACCAAATAGTAAATAAAGTAAAGTCCCTCAATAGTTCAACCTTATTCAAAGCTATCGCGGCTAATCACTTCTGACTTAAAACCAGATGTGGGGGAATAGTGGTTGAAAAAGAATGCAGACCTTAAGCTACACAAACTCCCCACTCTGCCACTCTTTAGGTTCCCTAGAGCATGTTCCCAATGCATACTGTATATACAGTGATCTCCAATAGTATTGGGACAGTGACACATTTGTTGTTGTTCTGGCTCTGTACTCTAGGACTTTGGATTTTAAATGATACAATGACTTTGAGGTTAAAGTGCAGACTGTCAGCTTTAATTTGAGGGTATTTTCATCCATATCGGGTGAACCGTTTAGAAATTACAGCACTTTTGTTCATAGTCCCCCCATTTTAGGGGACCAAAAGTATTGGGACAAATTCAATTATATGCGTGTTAAAGTAGTCCAAAGTTTAGTATTTGGTCCCATGTTCCTAGCACACAATGATTACATCAAGCTTGTGACTCTACAAATTTGTTGGATGCATTTGCTGTTTGTTTTGGTTGTGTTTCAGATTATTCTGTGCCTAATAGAAATGAATGGTAAATAATGTATTGTGTCAATTTGGAGTCACATTTATTGTAAATAAGAACAGAATATGTTTCTAAACACTTCTACATTAATGTGGATGCTACCATGATTACGGATAGTCCTGAATGAATCGTGAATAATGATGAGTGAGAAGGTTACAAAAAGTACAGTAATTTCTAAATGGTTCACCCGATATGAATGAAAATACCCTCAAATTAAACCTAACAGTCTGCACTTTAACCTCATCGTCATTGTATTATTTCAAATCCAAAGTGCTGGAGTACACGAGCCAAAACAAAAAAAAAATTGTCACTGTCCCAATACTTTTGGAGCTCACTGTATATATATATATATATATATATATATATATATATATATATATATATATATATATATATGACCTGTGCATCTCATTCCACTAGTGGATTCCAAAAAGCTGTCTACTGGACTGTGTATCCTTGTGGGAGTGGCCCCTACCCCTAACCTAACATCCGAGTTATTTTCTTACTATGTTAGCCAAAAGGATTTCAGCAGAACCCCCTGCTCCCCCTCTACTCTTCCTCCCTCCCTCCACCCCTCCACATCACGCTTAATTTAAACCCATGGCTGAGTTAGTGTGCTGCTTGAAATACCACACTATTTCTCCCAGAACCCTGTGGGAGATTGGCGGGTCCCGGCTGGACTGAGCGAAAGAGAGAAAAAGTGCCACAAGACAAAAATATCAGACTTTGGGACGTGATGAAAAAAGCCTTTATACTGCGAGAAACAAAACACTGCTTGTGTTGCAATGCACACCTCCTAGGATTGAAGGTGAGGCACTCTCTCTATGTAGTGTTCTACTACCAGCGTTTTAGTTAGCTATGACTTTGACTAGGTAAGACAGCAAAGAAAGCAAAGGGCTTTACTTTTGGCTCTCACTGCAACGGTGCTGGTTTTGTATAAAAGGAACTTCACAGCTTTTGTTGATGGAGCAAATAGTTGTTATATCCAATAAATGCATCATCACAATATAGAAACATCCTCAAATTATGTTTCTAGACTACTCAATGGATGATGTGTGCATTCTGAATATCCCTCAATAACCAATTTACATTTGACACTTGTGCTGTACCAAACATGCATGATCGTGGTTGGGATCCCTTTTCAAGTCAATCTGTACAAATTAAACCATAATTTCCTCTAAAGTAATTGCTCACTTCAGTTAGCTCATATAAGTTGCATATGAATATAGTTATATATAATATGAAATTGTATTCATATGCAATTTATATGAGCTGTCAGTCACGCCTGTGTCACCAAGGAATAAACAAACCCCCATGTAGTCTTAGCATTAATATGTCTATTCCTGATTACTTTAGTACTTAAAGGGGTGTCATCACTTTCAAATAAATTACATTTTAACCAAACAGTTTTTATATTGTTGTATGAAAGTTGGATTACGCAGAAAGGTGTAGATTTATTCCAAAATGCCTAATAACCCACCAAGCCAAACACAAACTTGTGTAAACACAGAAGTACATAAACAGGCTGACCTATTTGTCATTCCAGGTTTCAATGACTCCTTTCTCCATCCTTCTCCTCAGAGGTATTCCCCCTCGTTCTGGACCAGTGCTACCTCCAGACCATTGACTGCATCCAGAAACTAAAGTCAACAACCCAAGCTGTGAACGCAGAGGTTAAAGTTAGCCATCAGTATTTGAGGGATACTGTGTGTGTGTGAACATTTCTCCAGGACCTGAAAACGAATGGACAGTATGTGTGCCCCTCTATGAGTCCATTCATTCCCACTGTAGCAACTTTCTCATTTACATGCAATGGAAAGAAAATAAACACGCTGCTTCAGCTGAGTCCTAATCTGTTCATTTACAGTAAGTAGGGAGGAAAGCAAGCCAAGGCCGTGGTTTTACAACAAAGGTGTAGGTTACACTGTAACGGAAAACTAATTTATACGGTAATTTTAGGTATTATCAACAGTTTAAAAAACTAACGTTTTCTTGCAGCATACTGTAAATGATGGTGCATGGTGGGAAATTGTTTGTATTTCGAATGGTACTGTAATTTAACTCCTATGTGGTTATAGTGCCCCATCAATTTAAAATGTGTAGACAGGTTAGCTGACAACGTGCAGGGTCACAATTTACATTCAGTGCATATCACTAGACGGCAGTATGGTCAATACTGTATTTTCATTTTCCACCCCTGATGAAACTATGTTGACAATGAATTATCATTTAATTTCATCTGATTTCATTACAGACTAAATACATTCATTTGTGCAGCTTTCTTTTTCTAAACAATACAATTATTATCCCTTCAATTGTCACTTTTTATTCATAGCCTCCCACTGGGCCCAGACGTCAAATCAACTGAAATGATGTGGAAACAACGTTGATTCAACCAGTGTGTGCCCAGTGGGCTATGTGTTCCAGACTAATATTTTAACATGTACAGCATGCACTGCTTTTATTTCCAGGAAGAAAACATTTCTCTGAAATAATCAAAGATAATATGTTTTCTGAGCATTCACCCAATGGCAAATGTGCCAGTCTACAAATAAACACATTTATTCTGAAAATGAATGGAAGCACAACATTGTGTGTGACCAAACCCCAGGCTGCAATATACCTGTCTGTTATCTTGGACAGTTCCTCTGCTCTGTCCTCATATGACCCTGTCCTCTAGTTCTACCTGTTTTTCAAAGTTATTTTATTAGATGTCAGTGGGCGCACACCTTGTCAGCTGACCGCAACTCTATCATAGTAGCCTTCACAGAAGCTACTATCATAGCAATCTTTATAGAAAATTACCTTTAACCTATTTCACCTTTCACTGAGCAGACTCCACACACGTTATTACCAATAATCCCACTCATGTCAAAGTGGCATGTACTTTTCATGGCTGAGGATTTAAGGATGAGCAGGCTGGGCTCAAGCTGCCTGGAAGTCTGAATCACTGACTTCTTTATGTCTGCCACAGCAATAGCTATAGCCACTGAGGCAGATGTCCTTTTTACCCCTGTTGACATGTGAAAGCAGCCATGAGTCATCTCTTAACAAGTGAAGCAGGATCGATGGGGATCAGGCCAAGCGCCTGTTTTTGCTCAACTCCTCTACACACTGCTCCATGGCACCACACCAACAAATGTATGGCGGATATGACTGGTGTTGTGTTATATCACGGTGCCATGGCAAAACAGATACAGTGGTATTACCTTGTTTATAGCAAATGACAGGAAGAGAAGCATTGAGGGAATACTCTTTTTTACA